CTCTCTCTCTCTCTCTCTCTCTCTCTCTCTCTCTCTGTTTGGAAAGCTGGGAGATAACTGTTGTTGTGATGTGGCGCTGTATAAATAAAATTTAACTGAATTGAGATACATCCCGCTTTTGGCCTGTTAAATGATCCTGTATTACAGCTGGTAAAACCACACATAGGTCACAGATGGGGTTTCCCATCCTCCTGCTCTGATCTGTGGGTGTACCTGTATTAGGCTTATCCTGATCAGATATCTGGATCAGATCGGCCGCCGATATTTGCAAAAAAATGCGTATCAGCCAGCAGGAGAAAATGCAGATGCAGACTCCAGATCAAGTTTTTTAAAAGTCTGATCCCACTCGAGCATTAGCATTAGCATCTGCTAACCCACAGCTCTGTGTCCCAACCATTAAGTTGTTATCAGAGTAAATCCCTGTTCAACATGAGTCTGACAACTAAGTAAGTAGATAAATAACTTTAAACTTTAACACAGGCTCTGATAGGCCAGGATCGGGATCGGAGGGGGGGACGTTCCTAACCTGTATGAAGGTGAACTCCCTCCAGTTGAGGGTGTTGGCCACTGAGGGCAGAGAGGTGACGGCCAGCAGGGAGAGCAGCCCCAGGGCCATGATGCCCACAGACAGGTACAGCTCCATCCTCCACACCTCCTCCTCCACCCACGAGTCCTCCACTCCCGCCTTCACCTGAACACAACACCAGCGGGAATGACAAAGCTGCACAGATAACAACTCGTTCTTCTTTGTGCTTTCAAAAAGAGCCAAAATCTGAGTAAAGACAGAGATAAATGCAGTGTGAGGTGCCGTCTAACTGAAGAAGAAGAAGAAGAATAGAAGAAGAAGAAAGGAAATTAATGAAAACACACAGCTTTAGTATGGGAGTATAAATCTGGGGTTTAATATAATAAGTTTGAAGCAAATTTAGAAGATAAATCCTCGAAAATAAATAGCTTTGGGGCATTTTGGGACGTTTTTAGCACGTTAAGTCACAGACAGACATACAGACTAGGGTTGTCAAAAGTATCGATACTCGAAAAAGAATCGATACTAAAATGTTGTATCCGGATACGACTCATTTTCAAAAGTATCGATACCACCATATTTAATATGTATTTATTTATGTTGTTTATGATCATTAACAAGACGTTAGCCTTGCTAGTTGCGGCTAATGGCTAATAATAACACGCTACCATTAATCAAATACATATCCAACTCCGCCCACATCCAAGTAGGCCATTTTTATTAGGTCACCAATAGGAAAATCCCAGGCAAGAAAATCTGAATTGCCTCATGGCAATATTGACATTCATTTAAAAATAGTGGAATGAATCTTTCAAACACTGAATTAAACTCTATCCATAATATTATGTTAAAATAGTGGATGTTAAATAGGTCCAAACAAGTGTAACCAAAAAATATTTATCTCACAATTATGAAGGCTGTAGGGTTAGGATTAGGGTCATTAATGTGGGCCACCGGCCACCATAACATCAGTAACAGGTCAGTTTGAAATGAAAGACACAATTCAGTTCAATTTTGGGGTCTTTGTTTTTATCCTTGTGGTATCGAAAATGGTATCGAGTATTTTCCTGAGTATCGGTATGGAGTTGAGCATTTTATTATCGTGACCACCCTAACACAGACCTGTTTGTAGGCCAGGTTGAGCAGCTTGTAGCGGGCGGA